TGCTGAGGAATCGAACCCAGGGCCTCATGCATGCAAGGCAAGCACTCTACCACTGAGCCACCTTCCCAGCCCTCGGCTTTTTTCTTTTTTCTTTTGTGGTGCTGAGGCATCGAACCCAGGGCCTCATGCATGCAAGGCAAGCGCTCTACCACTGAGCCACCTTCCCACCCTCTCCCAACTTTTATTTCAGTCAGAGGTGATGGAAGACATCAAAGGTGGCCATCATCTGACCACTACAAAAAGGAGGGACTTTACAGAGTTCCAGGTGCTAAAAGGACAGTCGGAGGAACAGTTACTTCTTATCTACCCCTGAGAGAAGAGAATCCTGGTATCTTCACCAGAGAGCTCAGAGGTTGTGGACCTTTCCGCTTGCTGGGTCACTGGGGACCAGGGCAGTCCTGTAACCACCCAAAGACAGAATCCATTGGCAGATCAGTCCTGGCCTGTACATGTTCTGTCCCCAAGCTCCAGTTCAGGAATCATCCTGGAAGGTGTTCAGCTAGTGCCACCCAGAGGCCAAATGTTGTCCTTAGCACAGCCAGGAAGTGAATCAACAAGGAAAAAGAAAAAGGGGAGAAATTTGCACAAATATACCCCACATTTTACACATATGAGGACATATACTAAAAAATATTGTGTGTGTGGTGTGTGTGTGTGTGTGTGTGTGTGTGTGTGATGCCTTGTAATCCTAGCCATTCTGGAGGCTGAGGTCTGAGGGTTGTAATTCAAAGCCAGCCAGAGCAAAAAAGTCCATGAGACTCTTAAACCTCCAATTAATCACCCAAAAGCTGTAAGTGGAGCTATGGCTCAAGTGCTTGAGCACCATCCTTGAGAGGAAAAGCTAAGGGACAACTCACAGGCCCTGAGTTCAAGCCCAGTCCCAAGCACCCATGTGCGCTTGCACATACACACACACACATACACACACACACACATACACACACACACACACACCCCTACGAGCAGTAGACTTAATTTCTCTCCTTATCCTGGAAGGAGGGGCAAGAACTTCCGTCTGAGTGCTGAGAATGGCTCTCTCCGCCTTGAAGGAAGTGCAGGACCTTGCTGCACTTTAGTGCCGCATTAGATGGAGGGGCGCTGGGCCGGGGTCCTTGGCCGTACCCCAGCTCTGAGGAGCTCAGGGAGGGCGTGTGCTTTCCCGGAAGCCCATAAAGTCGTTCAATTAAGAGAAAGCCGATAGACGCCGCTAATTCCAGCGGCGGCACCAAAGCCACAACGAGAAGCACAACCTCCACCGCCTCTGGGCGCCTATCCGCTCCCGGGGCGAGATGAGTCCCCTGCCGAGTCCGGGGGACACCTGTACCGCTCTCGCCCGAGTCCGGGGGACCCCTGTACCCCTCTCGCCCGAGTCCGGGGCACACCTGTACCCCTCTCGCCCGAGTCCGGGGCACACCTGTATCCCTCTCGCCCGAGTCCGGGGCACACCTGCCGCGCCGGGACGGAGCCGCATCTTTAGCCGCACAGTGCCCTCCAGCGGCACAAGACACAGCGCTCCCCGGCCAGCTCCACCGCCAAACTTGGGCTGAGTTTTCCCCGTGGCCCCGGGAAGGTGTCGCGGCGCCAGACCGGCGCGGGAAACCAGACGCGGAGCTGAGGGGATCCAGCCGGAAACGCAGCTGCCCGGCCGGGGCCGCCGCCGGGGCCGCCCGGGCCGGAGACGGGCGCTTTCCCCCTCGCTTCTCCCCTTCTTCCCCTCGGAAGCTGCCGGGGGAGGGGATGCGGAGCGCTG